TAGTAGTAGTAGTAGTAGTAGTAGTAGTAGTAGTAGTAGTAGTAGTAATGTTGGTTTCCTTGCTAGTATAAAGGGGTCAGGCATCAAATCCTGACTAAGAAATAAATATGCAAGGTGTAAACCCTGTGAGCACAAGTCAATTTGGATAGTTGCAAGTAAGGTCTACTCAAGAGTAAGGGCATGTTCAAGAGTAGCCCTTCTTTGCCTATAAATCAGTAATGGCTTCCAGATGTGACTCTGAAAACATTAAATACCTTCACTTTGCAAAGGATCCAAATTGGAAAACATCTGGTCTCAGAGCTTGGCTGTTTTACGTTTTCAAGTTTTGTGACCATGATTTCTTATCCATAACCTGGTATTGTTGGTTTAGTTCTGTTCTTTTTTTGGACCGTTCCCTGGGATTACTTCCATCATTAATTTACGATAAGGCTGATTTTCTACCATTCCTGGAAAACCCATTTTAGAGAGTTTCTTAGTTTTGCTGTTTTATTTGCTGACCTGAAGGACTGTACAGGAGGATAGAGGTCTATAGCAGTGCATTAGTTCCACAGATGCTTCCCATTAAAACTGACAGATCCAGATAAGCGCAACTATTGTGAGAGGCATCCATCTTTCATAGCAAATAAATGCTGTGTTCATAATGATGCATTAAATATATGTTCTGCCTGGTTCCCATGACTCTGGGAGTTTTACAAATTGTTAAAACATCTAAAATCAAAGAACTCAAAACGTATAAGAACAAGATGAAACAAACATGACATAGAAAACAGAAAATGAAGAAGACAAAGGAGATGGAGGAGGAGGAGGAAGAAGAAGGAGAAAGAGAAGGAGAAGAAAAGAAGAGGTGGAGGAGGGGAGGAGGAGAAGAAGAGGAAGAGGAGGAGGAGGGAGAAGAGGAAGAGGAAGAAGAAAAGGGAGAAGGAGGAGGGGAAGGGGAAGGGGAAGAAGGGGAAGGAGAAGGAGAAGGAGAAGGAGAAGGAGAAGGAGAAGGAGAAGAAGAAGAAGAAGAAGAAGAAGAAGAAGAAGAAGAAGAAGAAGAAGAAGAAGAAGAAGAAGAAGAAGAAGAAGAAAGAAGAAGAAAGAAGAAGAAAGAGTCAGATCTTCAAGACCCTCAAAAATTGTACTAGAAGTAGCTGGATCTCCAGAAGAACCTTGTTCCACAGGACAAGCATTGCTATAGAGAAGACACACTTCCAGGTAGATGGCATTGCTTAATCAAAGGAACCCAGAACATGGGTCAACTCTGCCACATTGAACCAGCTGGGAAGATAATATGGGCTACAAGCAGTTTGTTGCTGCCGTACATTTATCAAAGGTAAGATAGTTAGATGTAGTGAAAATTGCAGGCGCACTGAGAATATATTTCCTATTTTAATTTTGCGGACTAAAAAATAAATAAATGCATAATTCCATTGCTCATTTAAAGCAGGTAAACATCAACAGCAGCCACACAAATTAGATAGGTCTGTGTTGCATTGATTCATTTAGCTGACTTAGGGGAGAGAGCCGAGATAATTATACAACCTTACCTGAATCCTAAGCAGTGGTGGGATTGGGCAGATGGTTAGTTTAGCAGGTATTAGTACAGGATGCTGTGAGATGAGCTCAGAGCTAAACTCTGAGTGACTTTATCCATGTTGCTTTTTTGGCAGGAGCACAGAGGTGTTTTTCCATGGCTTGCTTCCTAGATCCTTTTTTTAAAATTGGCAGTCTAGTCTTCGACCCTAGGATTTCTGGATGTACTATGCAGATCCAATTGTGTTTAGCTTTTGATCCCCACAAGATGAGCTACTGGCACTTGCTGAAAATTAGCCACGATGTCTCATATAGAAAATAGAATAATAGCATTGGAAGGGACATTGGAGGTCTTCTTGTCTAACCTCTTGCAGCACCATTCTGGACTTGATGGGGTGGATGCATATGATCATAGAAAGAACAACAGGTTGGAAGGGACCCAGAGGTCCTCCAGTCCAACTCCTCACCCAAGCAGGAGACCCCATACCATTTCAGATAAATGACTGTCCAATCTCTTCTTAAAAACCACCAGTCATGGAGCAGCCCCAAATTCTGGAGGCTGGTTCATTGTTGTCACTGTCAGGAAATTTCTCCTTAGTAAAGGAGAAATGTATGTATAGTGAATGAAATTTATGTGTGTGAATGAAATGAAATTTAGCTTTGTAAAATTGTAATTCAGATCATCTTATAGTTGACTGCCTTTCCATCACCTTATCTACTGAAGAACGCAAGAAAAAAATGCACTCCTGCAGTATTGGTTGATATGCATAGACCCGGCTGTTTGGAACTCTGCCACCTAGCTGGTAGTCTTTCTAAGAATGACATCCTTGAAGTACCAGTAGATGGTACTTCCGTGGATCTAGGATGTCAGTCAGTTGAAACCAGGAACAAGCAAAAGCCTTGTTCCTTCTGAAAGCTTTGGTCTTATGGACATCCAAGAGAAGAGTTTAAGGATGATAAAAGTCTACAAAGCATTGTGCCCTAAAACCTGATGCAGCTTTTTCCTACTTGATAGAAGACAGAAATAGGAACAAGAAGACTGCAAAAATACTGTCCTCCCTTCTCCAACTCACCTTTGGCATTCATCATACCCTCCTATCTTGAGGAAATTGGGGTCCTGACACAACTCCCAAGTAAAAACAGTATATCTGTCTAGAAGTGGTACATCAAAAGAACAGGCTTAACCCACAGTAAAT